AAAGATGTCTCCCCCCCCCCCCCCCCCGTTCATTCTGAACATCTGAGACTCTGACATTCAGTAGAACTCTCCACCTCTTCCCTAGACACCTCTCTCTTTCTCTCTCCTATCAGTATCTGGAAGATTGATCATTAAATGCTAACGGAGGGCTAAAGATGAATTACTTCCCTCTGCAAGGTTGAAATGACGGTTCTGTCCTAGTGTGGGGAAATGTGGCACGCCAATCCCTTGAAATCCTTGTGTGTGTTCTGCTGCCTCCTGGCAAGTCGGATAGTGAACGAAAATTGTGGATGCATTATTTTGAACTCAGTATCCTAGCCTTCTAAGCACCCTGCCTACCTTTTATGCCACTTGACAGAATTCAGATAGTGTTCTTTATCTCTGATCATGAGGAGGGAGGGAGGTCTTTAAAGGACCTTTAAAAGCTGTCCTTGAAGAATTACTCATGCTTTCTTATAATCCAAAGGTAGGGCCTTCCCATCCAGCAGATCACCTCCCTTTTACCTCATTGTACCCTCAGCCGTCAGCCTTTCAAATAACTTCTTCAGATGATGGTGCTGCTGTTGTTCCTGCACAACACGACTTCCTGGGTGAACACAAAGGATGTGTGTGTATGGATGGATCAATATGTGCATGCTGTGCATGTGTAAATGGGGGTTGGGTGGGAGCCTGTGGAAGGGAGTGTGGGACAGCTCTGCCCACTGCTAGCATGTAGGCCTTGGCACTTGGAAAGCAAGACAATCATGGCCCTGGAGCAAAAAACACTTCCACCCCTCTGGCTCAGGCTGACAAGGGCATCCCCGTCCACTCCCACCCTGTTTTGAGATATACACATGCTTCTGCATGCACTAGTGTTGCCTTGCAGTTCCTTAGCTGCAACATCCTTGAATCTCAATGACTGTTTCCCTGCACCAACTTTAGGTACTTGAGTATTCCTCTCCTCCCTGTCTCTGTGTATGTCTGTGGCTTCCCTTAATTGAAAATACTACTTTTATCTTCACTTCCATGCTTGTCTTTACCTTGCAGATGGCTGATATCATTCTCTTTTTTCCTAATAGGTTCCTAGTGGTTCAGTGTTTATGCTCCAGTGAGAGCTGGTCTACACTTAGCACAAAAACACAGTCTGTACGAGCAACAGCTCTAATGGCAGATGGAATATCACATGATTAAAAGTTTTGTGCATGTAAAAATCTAGCCCTTCTAGTTCAAATAAGAGTTTTTATCCTAGCTGTGCTAATGTTCTACATGTAGTAAGGGGAAAAAGACATGGCTTAGCAGTAGATTCCATGCTTTGCATTTAGTAGCTCTTGGGTTCAATTCTTGGTATAGCCAGGCAGTGCTGAGAGAGAGATTCCTGCTTGAAACCCCAAAGAGCACTTAACAGCCAATGTAGACAACATTAAGGATTGACAAGTCTTATTCAGTTAAGATGGCATCTTACATTTCTTAGGTTTTTATATAGGGCAACACTCTTAGCTACATCCCTCATGACTATGAAATAAAACTGGGCAGGACAGTATCACTCACACCATCCATTAATGTTTCTGGCTCTATTTAACATTCTAATAAGAAGAGAGAAGGATACATTAGATGTATGAAACTTGTCAATGTGTTTCATATGCCTCTGTATCCAGATTGTTGAGGGTAAGGTGGGGGATAGCCATTGAAATGGACTACAAATCCATACTTTCAGTGCCAAGGACCCAAACCAGCCCCTTGGTTTCAAAGCCAACGATCTAGAAGTCACATTTAGTGGACACTGCTTGCATCTGCTCATTTGCGGAGCACACAGAGGCCGACGCCTGTCATTCTGACCCCTCTGATTCTCTTCCACCAAGAGAATCAGAAATTCAAGTAGAAATTCAAGTGCCACCAGAAATTGTCAGCTTCTTGCTGTTTAATGTGCGGAGTTCTCTGATTGAAGAAAAACACACACACTCTTCTTCTACAAAAAGACATGTGTATTAACAAATATATACAAATGTACAAAGTAGCAGACCTTCGGTGTGGCAGTAAAAATATAGACAAAATAGCATACAGGATAGTAGCACATAGGAAAGAAGGAGATACATTCATGTTCACAATGTTTCCTTATATACAGTTAAACTGATGCTTCTGTCCAATCACTTCAAGGGTTGCATCATCTTCCTTTACAGGGGTGTCACATCATCCCCAGATGTTTCTTCTTCTTCTTCTTAGTCACTGTGACTCAGCAGTTACACAGGTGTTCATTATGGCAGTTCATCAATCTGGACCTTTCAGGCCTATAAAATTTACAATACTTTAACAGAAATTCAAGTATTGATTTCAATAATACACAAGGTTGGAAATCTGGTTTCAAGAAGAGAGATTACTTTCTGCTAAAAGCAGACTTTCCCCTGAGTCATGTGCCCCGTCCAGACTATCTACATATTTTAATGAGGCACATGTTTTGAAGAGACAGTGTTTGTAACAGAGGCTGAGATTCAGACTTGCCAACACATATGGACATATGTAAGCTGGGTGTTGACAGATAAGAAGGGAGAGGGAAAACAGATATACACAGACAGATTTAAGGCAGATTTAACACTTTGTCAGGAGGAGATGTTGCCGATATATGCTAATGCTCACTCCACCACTCCATTCAGTTTACCCCATACTCCTTTACAACACCACCTTTCTATATTCCTTCCAAATGCCAGGACTTTTTCCTTATTCTATAAATCTTGTTTTGTGAAAACCTGCAACGACCTTAGATAGGAGTGGCAGACTCATTTGGAAGGATGATTAAATTCCCCTGAATTGTTACGGTTCAGAATGACACATTTGCTAGAATGTGCAGAGGGACACTCGTTTATATTAATGGGAGAATGAGACCTTTGCGTGGTAACTAAATTTTCAGTTATTTTTTTTTCAGTGCCTTGTGATCACATTCACTGTTTGAGGGAGAAAATATGCCTCCCATTGGGCTCATCACTATTTTTCTGTCAGAGCTGCCTCTTCATTTTTCTCATTGCTGTATTTCCTTCGTAGACGAGCTTCAGGCCTGTCCTTTGTCCTTACTGCATGAACTTTTTTTTTTAAATCAAATCAATGACTATGAAGCAGATGCAAGTGCATTATTAGGCTTTAGTGCTGACACGTAAACTGGGCTACAATAAAAATTACCTGATGTAAATCTTCTTAAACAGAGTCAGATTGTCACACTTATTTTTTTTTTTTTTGCAAGATGAGGCAGCTACAACAAAACGATTTACCCACCAGTTTCTTCTCAGTGCTCCACCATGAGGAGAGCTCTTGTTTTGCCACATTCTGAAGAACCCTCACAGTTTGTCTGTCTGCCAGATGTGTTAATGACCATCTCTGACTATGCTCTTTTCGGAGTATCTGAACGAAAATCTCACTCTTGTCAAAGTGAAAGTAAAAGCTCTTAGGGATTAACAGCATCAAAACTGGATGGGGCCTGAATCTCAAAGTTATCCAAATTCATGTCTTTGGGATACTGAGGGCTGATTTTCACCTAACTAGTGTTGCTGGGCTGAAGAAAGTAGGAGGTGCTAATCTAGTGTATCTACTGTATCAACATTACAATATGTCATCTAGAAAAGCAAAATGATAATAGCACTCTGTTCTGATCCAGTCATAATTCA